GGGATGTGCCAGGTCTCCACGGGGGGTATTGCCCAGCACTGCGGCACAGATAATGAGTTGCTGTTAATGAATTCTCATTTCCTCTGGCCATGCCAAGCACTTGCCCTCCTTGTGGGCCAGGAGCCAGTTAATCTTGGGGGCGGGGGGAAGCTCCCCGTAGAACCAGTGCCACCAGTTCCGGTCCCAGTCAGCCTGGCACTGTGCAGCAGTATGGCAGGATCTGGCCTGAGGAACCCTCAACTGGGATGGAACAGGGATGGCAGGAGGGAACGGCTGAGTGTGAAAAGGGAAGGTGCATTGAAAATCCCCAAAAGGACCAAAAATACAGAAAGCCCCTGCAGCAGCACTGACCCAGCCCTGTGGTGCTCAGGGTCACACTTAGCCCCCCCAAAACCACCCTGTACCATACCATGGTGGTGGGGGACAGGGTACCCAAACCTCTCTGGAATCACCCTGAAACCCCACACCGTGCTCATGGCAAGGGATGGGGCACCCAAACCACCCTAAAAGCACCCCGAAGCCATCCACTGTGGTCATGGTGAGGGCTGGGCTGTCCAAACCAGCCTGAAGCCACCCCAGCTGCTCTGCCAGGGCCCCAGGCAGGGACACCATACACACCTGGCTAGGGACACCTGGTCCTCCCCAGTTGCCCCCCACCCTGTGCCTCAGTTTCCCCTGCACTGCACAGGCAGTGCACCCGCCGTGGCTACAGGTCTCTCCTTAATTTGGCTGCTCATTTGCGAGCAGAGAGCTAACAAAGGCACCCAGTGTCACTCCACGGTGGCTTTGGCCTCAGAGAGGGGATCTGGGGAGGGAGCTGCAGTGGGGATAGGGAGCCAGAGATAGGGTCTAAGGGGGACTTTTGGGGGCAGCCCAGGCTGGAGAGACCTGTCCGGGTGCAGATGTCCTTGCGGGTGGCAGCTGGGTGGTGCTCTGCTCCCCGACGTGCTCTGGGGAGGAACAGACCAGGGACCAAACCACTCCCAGCAGCACTGCTCAGCCCAAAATCACTCACCACGGCCAGAGCTGCCGGCCCTCACCTTCCTCCCCATGACCCTACACAGGAACAGGGGCCCCCACAGGTCAAGGTGGCAGCAGGACATGGGGACAGGTCCAGCCGGGGGGTGACAGTGCCCAGCTGCAAACAGGGTGGAAGGTGTGAGCATCCTCTTTCCACAAGCATTAAACACGCATTTGGAGTTTTTTCCTACCAGCTGCTCTGCAAGACGCGTGTCCCAAGTTCATGATCCATCACCCTCATCTGTAGTTAAACTCAGCAGCGTGACAAGGGAAGACAAAGTCCCCATCTGCTGCATAAGGAGGGGCTGGGCCAGACCCCCTAACCACAGGGGGGTGAGATTGGGGTACAGCTCACACCAGCTGCCCCCAGAGCCCCTGCACCTCCCCAGCATCTCAACCCCCACACCAAGCCGCCTGCCCGGAGGGGAGCAAGGGGATGGAAGCCATGGGTGGATCAAAGACATGGGTGGATCAAAGGCATGGGTGGGAGCCCAGCTGAGGGCAGGGGGTTCTGCAGCCACAGCAGCACAGGGCAAGTGGGGAACCCTACCAGCAGCCGGTGGCATATGGACATGGAGACGTCCCAGAGAGCTGCTCCCTGCCAGCACCAGCCCT